TAAGGTTAGAGTTAGAGTTTTTTTATATTATAATCTTATAATATTTCTATATTGCCCAGCTATACTAAAGAAGATCCTCTTTTTAACAATTATAAAACATAAAAGGTCCAAACAAGGACAATTAAACTTGTAGAGATAATCTCTTTTTAAAAATTTCCAGTGAGATTTGACTATTATAGTTGTACGCAGAATTCTAATTTCTTCAAATGAAGAGCATATCCAGAGGCACTATTGTTTTGAAGAGTACTACTCACACCAAAGGTACCCCATACTATAATTAAGTTATTATTATGGCAATACTGATACATTTCAGTAACACATTTGATCCAGATTGCTTATTGATTACTTACAAATATTTTATTTTCCTTTGGAATAAGTATGTGCTAATTAAAATACTTTGTAATAAGGTTTGCAATATATACACGAACTTCTTTATTAGCAAGTTGATAACCTAATTACATTTTCTTGATTCGTTTTACTAAACATTAATGGAACCAGTTACTATGAAGAATCAATTATGATACACTGTTTATGCGCTTCAGCTGCATTATATTTTACAATTTGAATTTTAGCTTTTGATGATAATTTTTGCTTTACTGCGCGAAGAACATGCCATAAACACAATTGTACTTTAAGATTAACCTAGGTAGCTTTTGCTGTATTTATTTGAGATAGATCTTTATCTGTATAAAAAATTTTTTATATTTATTAATTGTTGTGTTTTCAATGCTATAAACCATTCTGTTATTATACTAATAATATTATAATTTTTGTCTGATAATATAAATTGATAAGAAAGAGAAAACCCAACTATCTACAATCGCCATAGCTACATATAGCTCATATTTATGCTTGTTGGTGTTATATGTTGCATTTATCATTAGCTCCATTAATTTATTCAAAGGTAATATATCAGAGAAGGCAGTTAAAAAAGCAAATGCATAATCTTTAAAAAAAAGAATTTTCTGATTTTGTTTTTGAAAAAAAGTTCTTGCAGAAATAAGCTCATTGTCACAATATAATCAGCTTGCACAATTAATAACCACTATTAATAGACTTGTTTAATTATTAATAGTTCAAATCCATTTATATGTTGCTTTTTAATTAACTGATAAATATTTGGAATGCTTTGTCTAATATATGAATTTATATAATCTTTAATTTCTTGAGTTATATTGATCTTTTCTAATCATCTTATGAGATAAATTAACTATTATGATATTTGAATAGAGTTTGACTGTAATTAAGCCTTTATATTCATAACGTTCAATATGTGCTTTACTATTGCATTGTTTTGAAGTATTTGCAATTTTTTTTAACATCTACACAAGTCCTTACGAGCATTATACCAGTATATTAATATTGTAAATTTAGAGTTTTTATTATTGTATATTTTATAATATATATAGGTATATCCATCACCATCGCTAATTGCATCAACTATTGGATTGGCAATATGCTGATTTTTTTCTTTAGTAATTTCAATTGGGATGTTTTCATTAAAGAATCTAGATCAATATCAAATTGAAGTTGAAAAAAGGTATGTCCTTCAAGGTTATTATTCAAATTTTTATATTCTAAAAGTATATAATAAATATGATCTGCAATATTAATAAAGTTAATTGTATTTTCTTTTTTAATTATAGAATTATTAGCTTCTTGTCTTTTGTGTTTTTTTGCCTGTGAGATATTGCTATGGCAAGATACACAAAAATTTTAAATATTACTTTCACCAACAATAAAATCAGTATTTGGTTGAACACATTGGCACCTGGTGCAAGTTTTTGTAGAACTTTCATTATCTATATTTTATTAAAAATAATATTTTTACCTTTAAAGGCAAAAAAAAAATCTGTAATATTAAACTATGTACAAACAATTTTTTATTTGTAATTACATACTATTATATAGTTATGTAATATTTTATGACGATAAAAATAAAAGTTTAATGTGAGATTGAAGAATTAATACAGTCAGAATATCATGTAACTGCGCCCTTGATTGGTGGTAACACTAGATTTGCTATCACATTCCTCTGTATAAGTATCCCAATTAATATCTTCCATTTCATTACTATCATTTATTAAGATTTGAGTACTTTTAAGAGTAACTTGGTCAATGGTGAAAGCTTCTTCGTAACTTTCTTTAGTAGCATCATATTCCTCTATGTAAGTAATTTCAGATTCAGCCATTTTTTAAAATATTATATTCTGAACAATTACTATATTTTATATAGAAATATTGTAGATTAAATGATGCAATCTAATCAAATTACATTTATTATAAAGAAATTGAGAGTTTATTTTGACAAGAATTAATGCCTTGAGCAATGAGGCATATTTATATTTTTTATTTCTTTATATATTTTCTAGCATTATTTTATATTTATATACAATTTTTACTAATTAAATATTCAATTTATGCATTAGACAAAATAATACAATGATTCTAACAATGTTTTAGCCTGAGTTACCAAAATAATACAATAATTCTAACAATGTTTAGGCTAAGTTACCAAAATAATATATGATTTCAGATAAGTTGCTTTTTAAATTTTAAAGAAAAATGTATTTAAGACAAACAATTGTACAATATATCAACTTTAGATAAATTATACTTCGAATTTGAAATGGTTTGCTAGTAAAAGAATTTCATAATACTCCTTTATTAAAAAAGGAATTATATAATTTATTAATTAGCAAACAACAAATTTTAATAAAAGAAATAAATATATTTTTGTAATTTTAAAATTTTTATTAAAATAAAACTATTTAAATACATTTTTTTGTTTTATTATTATGCCTTTGTCTGCTATTATGCCTTTGTTTACTATGCTATTGTTAAATACTATCACTATTAAATATCGCCATTGTTAAATATTGCTATTGTGAATGTTTAAGTAATATTACCCAAAAATGCTACACAATCGGCATAGTACAATGATTCAATTTTTTAAAGTTTCAATTTCTAAACTTGTCAAAGTTCACAACTCACAATAAAAAAGTGTTATTAAATTTATTTTATAGTGTAAAAAAATATATATGACTAAAGACTTACTGTGCTTGAATTCAGAAATTCAAAAGTATTGTGTTCTAACAAACTTCTCTTTAACTGTCAACTATTAAATCTGCTAACTGCTGTTATTATTTCTGTTTTAGTAGCTACTAGGCTATATATTTAAATTCATGCTAAGTTAAAAAAGTAAATACAACTTACTCTTATTATAGTGAAGTCCTCTGGGCTGAAAAAAAATCTTCACTATAGCTTATATTGAGAGAATACTATATATACTTCACTATATCGAGTTGAGATTTAATAATTCTGGATTCAAAAATTCTTCACTATATAGAATTTTCACTATAATGAGAGTTCACTATAACAAGTGTGAGTTGTACTAGCCACATTGTAGAATAAAAAAAAGACAAAAATACTTAGCTAAAATATTACTAGCAAACTTTCAACCAGCAAACACATCATGTCTCAATCAAGCTTCTATGCTATTTTTCATACTCTTGCACCTAAATCTTGTTCTGTGTCAAAACTAGTTAAAGACTTTCACAGTTCTGTCAGTGAAACTACTACTAGCAAAATATAATCAACACTAGTTCAGAGTCGACCAACCCTAATTCTAATTCAGATCAACCTAGTTAGCGACTTGAGTAACTTTTTATTCATTAATGCATTTTGTCATTTCTATAATAATTAACAAACTTTATAAAAATAGCCTGGTTCTTCTAAAGACTCAGTATTTGTCGAGAATGCAAGTTGTGTAAGTTGGTAAGAGCTAAACTGGGCTCTTAGGACCATGAACTTGATTAGATCTATAAATATTACAGGAGTTAGAACACTTAAGCTTTGCACAAAGATTTTTGGTGATCTAATAAAAAATTAAAAGTCAGGATTTTTATAATTTTATAAAGAAATGCTTCAAGTATATTTAACTTAAAAAGCTATAGATGTTTTGTTTCACAAATATGAGGTTGTCATAAAAGAAACCTTTTGTGAATATGAAGTTTTAATATAAAATTAAAATAATTGACATTTGATTTGCCATATAAATAATATTTCAAACCCCTATAAATGGACATGTCCCTTGACTGATAATTTAATTTTTAGCAAATTAGACTAATTTTATATATAACAAGGGTTGGCGTCGCACTATTGCAGTGCATGATGGCAAATCATAGCTCATCTATACAATAGGCAAATGTTGCCCAAGTATGTGATTATTTGTATAAACACAAAATAATGTGTAGGAGTGTAATTTGAATTTTGGCCTAAATTAAAGTTAATTTGAGTCATTATTCGAAATAATACCCCTGGGTGTTATATAGTATATATATAGTGTTCCAAAAATGAATTTAAGATTTGGGTTCGATTCGCAAACCCATTTCGAATCCTATAATTTTCAGATTCTGCGGATCTGAACCCAAAGAGATATTCGATCTAATAATATTCGATTCAGATTCATTATTATACACTATTCAAATATATCGAGCTAATAGTGCCAGATATTGAAATTCATCGAAATCGAATAAATTAATGTGCAGCATATATTAATAGAATTGTGCATTTATTTCTATGCTTGTTTTCTGAAATGAGGTTATGATTAGTATATAATTAGTCAAGTTTCAAATTAAGCATTTATTAAATATACTTACTGCATAAGCGTGAAATAACATTATTTTGAAAATCGGATACTTAAAAAATAACATATGATCTCGAATTAGCACTCATAAGCATCCTGAATTAATGCGCATCATAATTTATTGTTGCGATAGATATATAGTCGATACTCTATATGCGCACTCTATAAGTGTACATAATTTGATCGGTCTAATGTAATTATTTAACATTATATATAGATTATTCTCTATAAATGAACACTCTATAACAACGTGCATTTACTGAAGGCAGGCTGTATTGAATTTAGAAATGTTCTCTTATTTCGAAATTACACACATAAGTGTATTCAAAATAATGCGCAGTTATTCATTTATGTGGTATTAGGCTTCATATCTTTCTCACATGGCAATTAGAATAGTTGTATTCAAGGCCTAACTGGCTTGTCTCTATATTCATACTTAGCCGTCTTTTCAATATGTTGATTTCTTATCAGCCTGATTTATTTTATTTTTTAGTTAAATTCCTAAATCCATTTTATTTTTTTTAAAAAAAATTAAAATCGGATTGGCTTTTTTTCTTTATTTTTTGTTAAAAATTTGTACTTGGGAGTTTGCGCTTCGGGTAGGTCGATATAATTTAAAATAATTAGTAGTTTTTTGTGCAACTACAATAAAGAAATCTCTGGTTGGATTCAGATCAGATCAAATCCAGATCTACATGATACAAATTCGAATCCTAGCTTGGATTCAATTCATGCTTTGGATCGAATCTGAATCTTTAGAAATATTCATTCCGTGTAGAACACTAAGTATGCATGATTGAAAATTCTACAGACAGAGTTTAAGAGCAGGTTTATATAATATTATTAAATCAACTGCTAACCAACCAATCATAATTTTATATTGTCTCTAAGCTCTGTCTATAGAAATTTCAATATTATTGTATTTAAATCATGATTGTAAATTTTCTTATCAAAAAATATATTTTGTGTGAAATATATAAATTATTAATCGATATCAGCATTTTGATTAAATATATATTTAGAAGTGATTATCAAAATACCTTTTGTTAGCTATTTATTTTAGTCTTTGGCAATCATTGATTATTATTTCATCAGCCTGATAAAAAATTCGACAGAAAAAAATAAAAAATTAGTGAGTATTAAGAAAGTACATTAACAAACACAAGAAGAAAATTCATAATAGAAGTTTCAAAGGTTAATAATTATACAAAATCAGTTTTTCGTTCTTTTACACTGAGCATGATCATGAGCATGATCATGAACATGAGCATGATCATGAACATGATCATGATCATGAACATGATCATAAGTATGATTATGAGTATGATTAAGAATATAGTATATACACAATGCAACCAATTTTGTGAAACTCCGAGTTCATCGATTTGTAATTTTGTACAACTAAAATTACTAAAAAGAAACAAAGATTATCAGGGAAAAGGCACAAAAATACAAAAAAAAACAAAACACATAGTACAAATTACAGAGTGATTTATTCTTGCATTAATAATTAAATTTTTAGCAAATTTACTTAATTTTAAAGATAGCAAAAACCTCTAAATTTATGTAGATTAATTATAATCTATATTAAAGATATTCAGGGTTCTGTAAAGTTGTTGACTCTCATATAAGACATAGGAAAAAAAACTATAAGTCAGCAGCTATTATTTAGAGATAGTTCTCATATGCTACCTGCAAGACTCTGGATATCTCTAATATAGATCATATTTGGATTTTGGCCGATTTGGCCTAATTTGCTAAAAACTAGAAATTCGCTTTTCTTAAATATTACTAAATTCAATAATCAGAATTGAATAAACTTTTTTTAAAAAAAAGCACCTTACTGAGGGCTTTCATTTTAAAAAAAGTTCATCCAAATTGGACTACTAGTTACAAAATTGTGTTTTTTTGCTCTCTAAATTTATAGAAGTTTTGCTAAAAAGTTCATATATGACTTATATCTTAGATATTCAGAGTCCTCTACCTGCTAATAGCCTAAGAGTTTATCACTCACTGCAGGTATGACACTTGTTATTTAGAAGTAATTCTAATATGCTACTTTCCAACAAGCTTAGAATTTATTACTTACCAAAAAGACTTAGTACTGTATACACTTTTTATTTTCAAATAAATGAAGTAAGACATAAATACAAAATTGTTTTGGCAATAATGACCCTACACTACATGATGAACCAATCAATGCTCTGATTAATGAACTGACCTAGATCAGATATTAAAGTCAGAAGAAATTTTAATAATAAGGTTTAGCTTTACAACAGAGATATACAAGATTTTTAAATTTAAAAATTAGTTTGTTTTAAATTTAATTAGATATATAATTTTTACAACTATGCCTGACACAGACTATAATAGTGCTTTTATAGATTGTTTTTTTTTTCTGCCTTTTTTATTTGTTTTTTTATTTATTTTCTTATTGCTTAGGTAGTTTTTTTCCTTCCCTCTTTTGTGTTGTTCTCTTTATCTTTTTTAGTATTAGTTTTTTTTTCATAAGTTAGTTAGGAACTATGAATCCTTCTGCTCAAGAAGCTAGGAGAAGAATGTTAGGAAAGGAAACAATCTTGATAGGCCATAAATACCATTCAGTGGTGTTTTAAAGAATTCATTTACAGGATTTTTTAATATGGAGATAAACTTTACTATAGCAAATCAAACATGAGTAATTTGGGCACTTCAGTAACACAAAGAGCCAGGTTAGCAAATACTTGTAACTTAGATGAACTTTAGGTAACTTTAGTCAAAAGTGCATTTTACCCGTGAGTTTAATGTTTATACTTAATAAAGTATTGGCAAGATTGCCAAATTGACAAAAAAAAAATTTCTGCTATTACTACTATGCTATTAGTTAAGATTGTTACAATTCTATAGGCTAAAATAGCTAGTAAAATTGCCCAAATTGCTAAAAGTTCAGGCTTTGTAGATGATGACTATTCTTTTGTCTTGAAATAACACTCATTCTTCTTTTTTATTTATTTGTACCCAACTACTACTCATTTTGTTAATGCCTTGGTTATACCTTTTCTCTAAAGCTAGCAAGTTGTCTGTATAAAAAAATAGATCTTTTTTTATTCTACTTCTACGGGGCTTAACATATAGCACCTTCATTATTCTAGTATTATGACCTATACCTAACTAATGAAGAGGCGAATCATTATATGCAGCCTTTTTATAATATAAAGAACGTAGTTTTCCTTGATATCAATTAGCATCCTGCTGCCCTACCGAGGTATACGTTGGTCACAGGTTTTGCCATATATGATATTTAAATCCTTTTCAGAAGGCTAACTTCATCAAACTTCAATAAGGTCGCAACAATCCTCATACCCGTTTATTCTTTCCATTTCTCCAAAACATCAAACGTAATCATAGTTGTGCAAGTACATGATAGTATCTTCCTAATGCACAATGTCAAACAGATCCCATTACCATGTTTATTGAAGTTCTCTCCACTTAATTTGAGGGTCTCTCTACTCCAGATGTTTGATAAGTTGGATGCTTGGTTGCCTAGATGGAACTGAATCTGTTTAGTTTCTAAGATTTATACCAAATTTATCCCATTTACTGAAACCTAGAGTAGTTGAGTGGCCAACTACCATAATACTCGAAAGTATCAGTCATCGAAGAGTTAGAGATTAGTGGTCTAAACATGAAAGTAATATGGTTCCCTTGGTGTAAGCTTGACACTCTATAATTACAGAATCAGTTAAGGTTGAAATTTCGTGTAATTTTTAGGTATTTGGGCTTGTTGCCTTCCAACATTTCCGTTTGAATTCGAAACATTTCACGGAACTCTATGTGTCCAGCAATTAAGTCTTGATAAAACAAGTTACATGCACCATAACTAAAAAGTTCCGTTACTTCAAGCATTTCTTTATTTCTAAATATATTCTTTTATGTTTTTTCCCTACTTGATCGCTTTTAGGATTTTCCGGTATTTGGGCGTTCTTTTGCAAGGAGGCTCGCAACCACCGACCCCATTAGCTTATAGATTTAAGTTATCCAATACCGCGCAACTTAACCATGTGCACTGGTAACTCCCTTTCGGTGTTTTTCTGGGCAACAGGATTATGGCCTGCTCCTTCTTTCCCAGCACACAATTGAACTTCCAGTTGATCATCCAGGAGAGTAAGTGCACATATCATAAATTAATTGCCCCTTGTAAATTGACTATCGAAGAAGTCCTGTAGCCAAACTCGCAGAATATATATAGCGTATAAGTTATAGCATGTACTTGTTACGTCCTTTAGAATTTCTCTGGTGTTTTCCCATTCCACTGGTGTTTCAGGATATTAAAGAATAAATAAAGAAACAATTTCACCTGTCTTACATTTATAACTTTATATAACTCTGGCCTATTATGAAGATAATAGCTCAAGGGTAAGTAGCTTAATATGCAGAACTCAAAGTTAGGATAACAGAGCTGTTACATCTAACCATTGTGCGTCCGCAATTTCACAATGGTTGAGTAGTCAGTTGCACCCTAACACACCTTTCGGCTTTCATTGACTATGCCTTTCAGCCGGGTGGTTCTTTCATCAAGGTCGGGTAATAATGTATTTTCTACACCCCTTCCAAGATCATACAAGTCCGACTGATGACTTTGTAGTCTGTGCACCTGTTTCTATGAATAGCTGGGAAAGTTTTCAAACTACACTAATTCACTGTACCATCACGTACAGGTCTTAGAGAGCTTAGCTCATAGTTACCCATAGTTCTTTACTAACCACTGGGTTTTCAAGCCCATAGAGGTTAGCCATCCTTTAGGAGTTTACCCGGCAGCTTTCCTTTCGGCGCTCTGCTTATCTAACAGGTTTCTCTCTTAGATGCTCCATAAGGCTTTAGGGTGTTCCATGAATTTGGCCAATATGAAAACAAAAGTTGCACACTTTAAATACTTACACTCCTCTTAATAAGGTCGTTTTTTGTTGTGCTACTAGGGTAGAGAGTGGCACTCTTTCCTCCGGTTGGTTTTAGGCCAACCGGGTAATTCCACCTTCCAGTTCTACCATTTACCCCATGTTATCTTATGACCGTGATAAGCCCTTTCTCCTCATAAGGAAGCTCCCTGCCTTGGCGTACTAACATTTGTTTTTCAGCCAAACTGAGAACAGGTTCAGTTAAAGAATCGCTACTTCCTGAAAGGACCCCCTTAAAAAACGGACTATAAGAATCACTCTCACGTGAATAAAACACTATGTTAAAATAAAATTTAGTTTGCGTTGCATAAAGAGGTCCCATTCGGGTTTTTCTACTCCGACTAGATTTCGTACAGGCGGTTATAGTAATCAACCGCACCACCATCATACTCTTTAGTAGAACACTCGACTTGAATCAAAAGACATAATTTTATGCACTATTAGAATATAAATCAATATTTAAAAACTATTTAAAGATTGTATAATTATATAACATATGGTTAATTAATTTGTTTGTTTTGATTAACACTAATTATTTTATTAACAAAAAAAGAATAAAACTATATCTAAATCTATATTAAGTACGATTAAAAAAATATCGAAAAGATAATTTATTTATTTATAAAATATGTCTTAACTTTAATTTCAAACTAACTCTTAATCTAACTTTAATTAAATAATCAAAATTATATACAGTAATTTATAATGCTTTAAACAACTTCAATATTTAGTAAAAAAAAAAAGTATAATTTATAATAATTTCACATAAATTTGGCCAAAAGTAAAATGTCTGAATTGAATTTTAATAATAAAATTAATCAATTTAATGCTATTAATTTTAATTAATTAAAAAAAATAAACTTTATACAGTAGCTTTGTTTCTTAGGTTTTATTTTATCTTTTTTATAAAAAGATTTTGTTTATAACTATTATAATTTTTTGTTTAAAATTATTATAATAACACATTAGTGGTTATTAATGACTATAATAATTTTTTATTTAGATTTAAAATAAAATAAAGAAATTTATATAAATTAAATGTAGGTCGAATATAAGGACCCGGTTTTGGTTTTCGGAGATCCTGGACATTTTTACTTAGAACTTCCGACCATATTTACTTAGTACATTTTCGAGATTTACATTCTCTATGCACATTTATACTCTCGATATAACGAATTCTTGATATAACAGACTAAGTAAAATCGATATAATAGAGCAAGATTCAGATCCACATCATAATAAACACTATATACTTGATATAATGGATTTACTAATAAAACTCACGATAAAGCAGATTTTAAAAAATTTCACGCTATGTTCCCAAGGTACTACGTTATATCGAGAGTGACGTGTAGTTATCAATAACCACTGGTATGAGATAATTTATATTTATTTAATACTATTTACTGTAATAGTTTTAGAATATAGTTTTTCAAACCAAAAAGTTAAAAGGAGTGAAATATTTATAATTTTTGACTGTATTAAAGATAAATAAGCTTTTACTGTATTTCTTTAAAAATAAGCATTTTTAAATTCTGGTCTGAATTACAACGGTCTTGGCTAGCCGACATTATGCGCAAAAAAAGGAAGCCTATTTTCGGAGAAATACGGTATTATATAGTATATATACTTTATATTGCTACCCAAGACACTAAGTATAACTTAAATCTATGACATCATGTGAAACGAAGATTTAGATTGTTTAATTTCAGAGTAAAGTTGTCCAAGGACCAATGGGTACCGGTACGTTTGGACAAGATTTTGGACATGGTACACAAAAAGAATTTTAATATGTCGATAACTTAATTAATTCATTAAAATGCTTAACGTTAACCCTAATTTTATAATTTTTTGAACTTTATAAAAGCATAAGCATGTTCAGACATTCTTGGACTTGGACGTGGACATGTCAAAAAGGCCTCGGGCATCAAAATTGTACAACTCTGTGAGGCTAAGGTTAACAATTAGGTGGCCGGATTTTGTATTGCCGGTAATTTCTAAATTAAGGTTAGATTTTCATATTCG